CTGCACTGCACTGCGAACGCAAACCAAAAGTCCCAAATACGAGACCGAATTTGGTCGCCTGCCGCCCGCCCAATGCGCGAGCATAACCAAAACTGTATGTGTGTTGTGTTTCTGCGGTCTGCCGCACGCAAGAAATGTAATGGATGTGTGCGTTTGCAGTTTTTAAGCGGTGGCACACGCGTAGAACCACCAAATGTGGTCTTTTTGGCCATTATTATTTAGACTTGTTGACTGCGACTGCTCAAATGATCACTTTTGGCCTGCAATGAAATTTAAGAAAATCGCATTATTTGTTTGTTTGCCTGTTAGTATTTTTAAGTTTATTTAAATAATATTTGGCAAAGATGTACAGGTATTGGTGTGAAAAATTAACTCATAGAAGTAGTAAGAGAAATTTTTATATAAGATAATCTCAAATGTACAGACGTATGAAGGGTTTACCATACGAAAACTTTTCCTTTATCAAAAACCAAGAAAAAACTGTTAAACCGAGTGCACGACAGCTATAATTACCTTCACTGTGCAGTTTTATAGCATAAAAGGGGTATAAAAAAGTATCTTTTTGCTTGATGTTGATCGTTGCTAGTTTGTATGGAACTTATATGCATAAATGATCTGCACAATATAAATCGGGTAAATCCAACGTTTCCTTTAAGGTGGTTATAAACATCGTGATATTCAGTATTTTAAAAAATGAAAATAGAAAAAATGCCTTGAAAAACTATTAATATCGCTAAATGGATGGCTATATTTTAACAAATGATAGTGTTTCAAATGCTTCAAAGACCTTTTCTGATGTAGAAAACCATGTTGTTCTTCATATTGAATTGAGGAGCTCTGTATTTAATTTGATAATCAGTCAATATAAATATTAAGTTGTTATCTCAAACATTTTTATTTTTCATTCAAATACAAACAAAGAATACTACGATAGAATAGAAGATTACGACAATTGTGTTCAGTAAATTGTTGAGAAGTATTTGACAGATAAGTAATAATTGAGCATGTTTTTGTTTACAAATACTTCAAAAAAAATAGTATAATTTTTGCTGTGTTATCTCCTTTCGTTTTTTCATCCAAACAGCCCCGATTGTTTTTCCTCCCCCATTGGTTTGATAGCTTGACGTCCTGTTTCTAGATAATTACTATCTTTTCCCATGGCCTCCAGATTGAGAGTAGCAAGCGTTTGAACACCTTTCTAGGCTTTGGTTGAGTTTTTAAAATGCTCAAGCAAATGTTTTTAAGGAGTTAAGACTCATATGTGTAGTTACTAAGCTTTAATCTCATTCTTATATTATAAACGTTTTCAGAACGCCACGTTTGGGTTAATTTGAGCGTACCCTATACCAAGCTCAAGGAAGAAACTTTGACAACACTTAGGATCGTAAAACACTTTTATTGATTAGTTTTAAATTACTGCAAATTAAACAATTTGATTACTTGAGTGGTTCACCACTTTTTATTTTCCTTCTTATTGATCTTATATACAAATAACCACATAATTTGCTTAAGAATTAGAAAAGTGTTATTACTCATTAGCAATTCTTAGGATCTACCTTCATAGTCATGCATTTGTTAGTATTCAAGGCATTGCAGATCTACAAACGTTTTGCAAATTTGTTAATAATAAAAATAATTTCAACAAAAAGTGATTGATTTTTCCAATTTTGCAATAT